CAGAGAGCACAACAGCCAAAACATTGTGATAACAAAAACAACTAAGATAAGGACAATAGTCTGCATGTAAATAGTGTAAATAATAATAATTCATCATCCCAGAAATTCAGATAGAAATTATAAGCAGAAGAATTTATTAATTTTAACAATAACCATTTATTGTTACTATATGGCCTGCTATATTGTGTACTTGATTTTATCTTCAAAACTTTTGCTTCAAAAACCACTCTCTATTGGAGTGATTGTTACCTACAATTCCCCGTTTGCCAGAATGGCTCCTAGATAACTCAAAAACGGAAATACATTATACATGTTATGTGACAAAAAATATGGTATTTATAATTATGTAGGTACATCAATGTATCTGTAGCCTAATGATGAAAAAAAAAAATTATATAATTTAACATCCATCCATTACATTTCTCATAATTCAGTGGTAAATATTAATCATATTGATCAAACATACAGTGAAAATTTCAAATGAAAACTGGGATCTCTGGGGAGTGATAAAACAAAAACGAGAAAGAAGGAAGGAAGAGGAAAGAGTCTTTTAACTGGATAATAATTATTGAAATTTGCAGGAAAATGGATTGAGAAGTTAAGAAGAAAATTAAAAACAAAATTTGTTGAAAAATCATGTTTTAAAATCCCAAGGAGAATCAAACCCAAATTTAACTAGACAGAATTCAGTAAGATTGAGTAAAACCAAAACTATCTGTCCTTCCTCACTTTCAGCCAATGAGAAAGAAACCATTAATGTATTCATGAAGATGTCAAATATAAAAAAAAAAAAAACAATATATTATTGATAAAGAAATCCGGGTAGTCAGTGAAATAACATTTAAAGATCACTCTGAACAAAAAAAAAACAGGGAAAAGAAATATTTGGTTTGAATCAACCACCCAGAAGACAAGATTTCCCACAGAGATAGTGGTCAGCCTGACATTCATTCATTATCATTTCTGTGACATTCATCCAGAAAATATTTTATATCCAAACATTAATTTGTATTCCTTTGTATACAAGTGATAAAGAAAAATTACTATTTAGGAGTGACCAAGAAAAAAAGCTGTGTGATCATAAAAATGCATAGACAGAGGAAAGATCAACTTTTTTTTATCACTAAAGAGATTAGGAATAATTTTCTTTTCTTTTCTTTCCCACTCATGACAATTCTTGAGTGGTTTGGTCAATCAAGTAATCACAGCAATGGACAAGCTGATGAAGGAAGATTAATGACTGAAAATCCCTTTTGTTTTTGCCTATGCCATCTAGAAGTTGGATTCATCACAAAGACAGTGTACCAGGTGAGGTTAGATGATGAGAAAGTGAGAGAAGGAAGACAGAGATTAGCACTGCCTATATGGAGCAATGATTTGAGATGAGACATGAAGGGAATTGGAAATAAGGGGCAGCTTGATTCTTCTTACTACTCTCAAAAAGGGGCTGGACAACCTCTAAATTTGGAAAACCACTTGAGTAAATATATTTTGAGAATTTTAGGAAAAGGTTGATGTTAAGGGTGGAAGACAACCAAACCCAGACCCTAGTCAACCTATCCTGCTACACACTGAACTCCATATAAGCTAGATATGGATAGCTTGTAGAGACCCCACACTACTGCTACTGGAATCCACATCATTCGCCAAGACCTCCTGACTAAGACCTTGTGCTGGCCCTGAAGACAAGACCTGTTCTTCACTTCAGTTTGCTTCATCAGCTTTCTTCTCACCCTCTGAAATCAAAAAAACACAATTTAGCAGAGGAGTGAATGGTCATGAACAGCTAAGTCGAGTGGAACTGTGCCCACCATTATGATACCAGCAACATATGAGCTGCATGTTAATGAGTGAAGTGTCAGCTAGATGATAACCACAGTGGTCTGACAGAACTTGAAGGCCAACATGGAGCATAGGACTACATTATTGATGGCCGTTGATGAGGATTGACCAGTGGGGTTACATAATAACAATTTGGATTACAAACCAACTGATTCATTTTCAAATATGAGCAGTGTTTTTAGTTAGGTTTTTTTCAAGTCAATTCACACATACATATGCCCACATAAACTTTGATGTTAAAAAAAAAATAATGAAGTATGATGCCAGTTTTTAACCCGATTCCAATATGTGTATGCTTGTAGGTAGTAGATATTCTGATAAAATGTTCAAAATTCTTTGGCCATCTTGGAACATAGTAACACTCATATCTGTGCACCATATGTGTCTGTGCTTTAGAAAGTGATGTATACTGCAGTAAGGTTCAGTATGCTGAATGAGTTCAATGCAATCAGACGTTATGCTCCATTGATACACATGTACTCTTTTTATTCAATTAAAGCTGTTTCAGAAGATTTGGATGGCATACCTACAATCAGCTGGATGGTCATTTTCGGAGAATTGCAGTACATTTTGGATGTGATGCATCGCTGGTGCTTTTCATTAATGTTAATGGTGGTAAAATAAACATTCCTACAATTGCAGACCAGATGAACATCTTTATTTTGTAAAGATGTTCACCAAGATCAACACATTGTAAAGGTAGCAATAATATATTGCATGAGGTTCACAACACAAATTAGAGCAAATATGACTCATGCAATATCAATAAGAACTGCTGAAAAGTGTTTACTTGTAGCAGGACTCGAAGCATGTGTGACTCAAATTAGATTTCTACTTATGCCAAAACCTCATTGTGCATCTCTCCAGTGGTGTTGAGAGTGTCACCTGGAAGATCAATAGTGTTCTGTGTGAACTTTCTACAAAATAAAATTGTATTGTGGAACCTTCCTACCTCACTTCTCTGGGAATGAACTCTTTGGGACTCTGAAAAATGAGCTGAATTTTTCTGTCTCAGGCAGTTTTTTTGAGTTTCTGGAACTTAGGTCAGTGTGAACATATATTCTTGCTGAAGTAAGGTTTACTCTTTTAATCTTTAACATTGGTAGCAGAAGATAGGGAATCGAGAAGAGGGCATTGAGCTACAAAAATCCACTTAAATATGAAGAGGAGAGGTATTGTCATGGAAAAATGAACTAAAATTTGGTAGCTCATGACAGATGGGAGATGAAAAAACATTGGCAGTAACTTTATCATTAATGTGAACCTTGCCCAAGCTTTCCACTGACCGGCCAATGATTGTTACATGTTGAATTCCAATTCCTGATTTTGTCAGTGCACTCCAAAAGCTGGGAAAGGATATGATGCATGTGCACAAGGTAACTCAAAAGATAAATATCACGTTGGGAAATAAGTACATGAACACTGTTTCCAATATTATATGTATATGTTTTATTCAGAGCTTTGCTTGCTTGGATAGGTCAACTTTTGCTATGTCAACTCTTTCCTCTACCAACTCTTTGCCCATCTACTCAGCCTGGCATTACGGATGGATTCTTTGGAACTGTGTAATGGACATGTTCATCTCCCACCAAGGGTGGACCAAAACTCTCTCTGATCCTAAGCATGACTGTTAATATAAACCAGCATCCTATTTCTGTTTTTGTTGCCACTTGATCTCCAAAAATCCCACAACCACCCCCTTACTTCTTATTCTCCTTCAGATAGTGGATGCTACTTAGAAGACTGAAATTCATAAGCAACCATCCACAGTATGTGGTAAAAAGAAAATGTTGGCTCACTATGTACAGAGTGTAAATAATACTACAAACACAAAAAAAGTAACAAACCATTTCAATTTAGTGATGGTAAAGATCATGTATAGATAATATACTGAAAATGCTGAAAACCAAGTGCAAAGCTATTTTTTTATTTACATGTTAAAACTATATATAATTCAAAGGAACTGAAACATCTCCACACTGCCCCATTTGTAAAAAAAAATTCTAGTGAAGCTAAATAGAAGTTTTATAAATGTTTCATACTTGTCCTGTAATTAATCATTTTGTTGGATTTAATCCATATTTTCATTATATATGTGATTATACAAAAAGGTGTAAAGGTTATGCCTTTTCATAAAACACAAAGCTATAAATGTTCAATGTTATAAAAAAGACTGATCTAAGATTGATTGTGTACATGGATATATACATGCATTCATAGGTGCATCAATAAGTCTGCAGCTTATTATCAAATAAGCATTTATTTTGCAACATAATTTCCTGCCTTGTCAATTTATTGATCCACCTTCATCAATGAGATCTAACATTTCAACTTCATCTCATGATTTCAGATCAATTTGATTGAAATATAAGAAGTATTACATTTTTTTATTTTTTAGCATGTAAGCTGTGACATACAAAAAGTGAACTGCTCATTTTTATTCTCACATAAGTTAATGTAAATGTTGTCTTTAATTGACTGAGGCGCTAAACCTTAGGCCTATCTTTAAAAATTGTACAAAGATAATTTTTTTTTTTTTTTTTGACTATTTAAAGAGTATGATTAGGAATTGTGTTTACAAAGATGAATATTATGGTTTGTATTTTGCAACACTTTGACTTAAATCTCAAGTGCTTTCACTCATTCAACACTTTCAGATTCCTGCATTTCTGTAAGATATGAAATACTAAGCTATCATTAATCAGATAATAATGGTTTTATCTTTATTTTGATTTAATCTTAAGCTAATGACCAAATTATTAAACTCCCTCTGATAAATATGGTAGCTATAGAGGATTCAAAATATTTACCAGCATCATTTATGGAAACATTTCAATAAGGTCATGAATGATAAATCAGCTCATTTTTTAAAATGAGCTGATTTATCATAATTATGTTATTTGGACCAATATGTACATCTTGGTTGTTATACTCTGAACATTTTGTCCATTGTACTCTCCTTTTTAAGTGTGTACCATTGTATTTGGTAACCTTGGAATTTCAAAATAAACCCTTTATTCAATCTATGGAGGTAAGTTGTTCTCATTTCATTTTCATTGCTTGGATTTCTTTGTAATTTTTATACATGTCATAATTTATTTTGATAAAAAAAATAATTCTATTTAATGTGCATGTTATCTTTTTGTTTATTTATCTAGGATGACAAACAGAATAATATGTCTGACCCCTACAATGCTGGGCTCATGTTTGTACCATTTTTGGCTTCACAGAATATTATGAGCCATGAACTGAAGAATCCATACAACAAAATTGTCTGTGAAAATGGATCCATTACAGTTTTCAAACAGGTAAATATATTCCTATATTTTTAATGCTTCTTTAATTACAAAAAAAAAATAAGTTCAAAGAGAGAGAATTTAGCCTATGTTCATCTTACTTTATATTAGGTCTTTTGGTTGTAGGAGATAGAAAAAGATCAGTAGTATTCTCAATAAGCAAATTCATTTCAGTCTATGTATTTTATGATGCATAAGAAACCAATTAATCATATATGATCATAACATTAAATGAAAATTTTTATATATTTGTTTCTTACCCATGGTATCACAGGTTACTTTGCTACTAATAAAATATTTTGACTACTGTTATATATTATCTGTTATTATATTATCTAATCTTTCTTTTAGTTGGATGACATTTTGTTTGTAGCTGTCAATGGTGATGGCACTGAAGATGAACAATTCCTAAATAAAAAGATTTTAATCTTCCACCGTATTCTCAAGTTCCTTTATGGGCCTGTACTGAAGCAGTAAGTTGACAACATTTTCTCTTTATTCTCATGTTATATTTTAGACATAATATGTAGTGATATACAATGATGCTCATTTAATGAGCTGGGAGTTTGAAGAATAACCCATTAATTGGGTATGGCAGATCAGAGCACATTTGGAGGCAACATTTTTATCTAAGACCAGTCTCAACCAAAATATTTTAGTCTACTAGCATAGGAGAAAAGAAAACTGAACATAAAATAGGCTGTGCCAGAGGTAATTTTTCCTAATAACACAAATTGCTACAAAACCAAAACGTGGTTAGCTAAATAAAGACTGAAAATTAATCTGTTGGGGTAAGTAAATTTGGAGATGAACATGGAATATGTGGCAATGATCTCTGAGATTGTTAGAGGTTGCCATTGGTCAATTTAGCATCAATCAGTGCTATTTTTGGCCAAACTGTAAAAAGGAACACTTCTTTATACAATGCTACATCAACCAAAAGCACCCTAAATGCAAGCATCAATATAAAACTTTATTATAAAAGGTAAATAACAATAGTGGTGCTGGTGGCCAAATGGTTAATTGCATGGAAAATGGAATCAGTAAGCTAAGTTCAAACTGAATCAAATACTGTATCACTTTGCACTAATGTCCATGGGAAATATTAGTTTTTTCCCCAAAATAAATAAATACAATGTAAATAATAAAGTATATGATATTTGAAATCTTAATTTAAGGGGAGTAATAAACAACATTTGATGGAGTCATGTTTGTTGGTTAAAATTTGTTCAAATTCATTTTGATAATTTCTTTTCTAAATTTGAAATGTAAACAAAAAAAATTGATTACAATAACCCAATATGAAATAAAATTTATTTGCAAACAATACCAAATAAATTTACTGTCAATATTTTTAACTGATTTTCCACTATAAACCTACACAACCTCCAACCTAATTTAAAAAAAATAAATACAGTTCCTGAACATTTATCACTAATCCTTCACATCAAATGCTGTTGAGAATTCTGTTACTTTGGAGGCAAACTGGATAGTTTCAAAATATTCCTTCATTTCAAAAATTTGGTCAAGACTGAGGTTTGGTGAATTTTCTAGTCACTGTCTAAATCCATCTTTTAAAAAAAATCAAGCTTTTCCAACCAGTGTACATGGTGCATGATTTTTTTTTATCATGGACTCAGCTCTCAAACTCACTCTTCTATGTACCATGTCCCTTCAGGACGTGAGCGATCATGGTTCTCCACAACTTCCTGTCTTTTTGCTATCTCTCCAAATCTCTGTTCTGCCAATCATATAAACATGCTTGTTAGGTAGATTATTCAGTGCTTTCTTGTCTTTAGTGTGTAATTGTGAGGGACAAATTCACCAAGCCCTTTTCCTCATTATGTGCTCCAGAAATTTCAATTTTTGATTTTAAGTGTCCTATTTGTTTCCATTTTCCCTAAAACTTTGCTACTCACATGTTCAATTTGTAGCAGATGTTAAACCTTTTTGCTAGACGCATTTTGCATTGAAAAACCAGTCAGTAGCAACAACCCCTTTTTCAGCTTTTTGGAATAGGTAAAAACTGAAAAGGCAGTTGCTGCTGCTAACCGGATTTTCAATGCTTGCATGCCTAGTGAAAAGATTTAACATCTGCTACAAGTCCATGGGATTCTCAACCTCTTTCTGTAGAATTACATTTCTGTTACCTCAAGTCTCTTCTTTATCTGTGAGGAAATTTTCCAGCATTCACTGCCATATAGTAAGAATCAATATTACATAACAGTTCAGTACTCTTTTCTTTATTTCTAATGAAACTTTTCTGTTTCTTAATACTTTGTTTAGCTTATGAAAGTCATCTTTTGCTATTCCAATGCACGTTCAGTTTCTGGTGTTACATCTTCTGTCCCCTGTTAAGACTTCCTAGGCAAATAATTATATTTGTACATACCTTACATAGTGAGGATATAGTGGCATACAAATTCAGGTTTAAAATGAACAGTTGGTTTTCCCATGCCAAGAAGGTTTGATGATGGAGGATAATTACAAGGAAACACATGGGTTATTTTTAACAAAACAGGATAAAGAATTTATTTATGAATTTACATGCTGTATCAGTAGTTTATTTCAGGAAAATAAATCACAAATTTTTAAAATCTGTAGTTTCAATGAATTGTCATGAAGAGGAAATGTTTATACAATAGATTAAATGATCTGACAAAATAATATTCAGAGATGTTTAAAACAAAGGGAAGACAGTTGTTTGTAGAAGGGATATATAGATGAAGAGAGATAGTTTGAGATACTTAGCTTTCTTTTTGTTGAAATAAAGTTCTTTGAAGTATCAAGTGTTCATTAAGGCCAATAATTAGTGAATAATTTGACACTGATGAAAATCTGAATGGTGGACAAGTGAACAGAAGTAAAACCTTTCACATGAGTTCAAAAGCTCTTCTCTTGTTGATTAATTTTTTTTCTTTATTTTATATCAAAAAGGATTTTGCATAGGATAGCTATTTTGTTTTTTAGGTTCAGTGGCTAGTTCCTGTAAAAAAAAATTTTGCATTGGTTCAAAGAAAATTTCACATGTTCGCAAATTTGTTTCCGTTTTTTTCTCAGCTCCCAAGCCAATCTCTATGAAGTCAAAGTTTTCATTGGTTCAAAGAAAATTTCATACAGGCTCACAAATTTGTTTCCAGCTTTTTTCTTAGGATCGCCTGAATTTGAAAAAAGTTGGTAAAGGGAGTTATTATTTTGTACTCACCACAAGGACAACCTATATCAAAAACATTTCAGAAGACTGCATGATTGTTAATAATTTTAGGTTCAAGAGTAATATGCATTTTCAAAGTGAAGCATCCAATTACAAAACAAGTCAGTTTTATTATGAAGCATCCTTTAAAAAGAAAGTTAACATTATTCTGTGTAATAATCACTTGACCACAATCTTGATATTTTATGATACTAAAATTACTTCACTTTACTTTCTTCAAAGATATTAAAATTTCTTTTAAAAATTTGCTTTATTAGTTGTTAAGCATCATCTTGCAATTGTTATGCATTTAATGTGTCTTAATATCTAATTTGACTTTCTTTTCTGTAGTGTAAAACCTAGTAGACTTCAAGAACGTAAGGAACGTCAGAATTACTTGAGTAAGCTGCTTAAAACATGGTGCTTCCTTGTCCAAGAAGAACACACTTTTCTCATGGAAGTAAGTTGTTTTACTATTGTTCCAAAGCATTCTGATTTGAAAATCATCTGAAAAGTAAGCTTGGTTTATAAGTTTTAAATATATGTTTCTTATTTCTTCATTTTAATTACCAACTGATCAATAAAAGATTTGTGAAAATTCTCAAGTGGGCATGTGAATAAATATCAACATTTTGCAATTGCCTGGTAAATCAATATCACTATGAACTAAGAATGATCTCGTTACTGATATTCTTTTAGAAAAGTATTGTCTGTTTGTTTTCTGTTAATCTTCAGTACCTAAGATTTTTGAGACCTCAAGATATAATAATAAAAGGTTGCATAAGTTGGTCCAGTTTTGATATGCAAGAATATGCTTATTAGAGGCTGAGAAAAATAAGACTGCTGGAATCTACTGTAACTAAGAGATGACAATATCAGGAAAATTAGCATAAATGTTATTCTATTTAGTATATGTAGCTGGATTTCTTTTTTCAGATTAATTACTAGATTGCTTCTGCCTGTAATAAATCATCAATAACAAAGAAAAGGCCCCAACCAATTGAACTATATGTAGTATGTAATTCATACCAGAAAATGCTAGAGGTCTGAATTGAATTTAATGTCCACCAGGAACCTTGATCTAAGAAGAGTTGATCTGTGGTGACCTCAATATGTACTGGGTTTGCACTAAGTGATACCAAAAATAAATTTTGCACTCTGTGTCACATCAGAAAGTCAAAAGACCTAAAACCCTTGAGAGTTGATTTAGAAAGTATCCTGAAAGTCATCAAATGCAGAATTGAGCCTTGAAGGATGTCAATTTTTGCACCAATATAAACAAGAATGTGAACCCACCTGAACTCAGCATATATACACACAAATGAAAGATAGATAACATGTTATATAAATACGTGCCTACGAGAGGAGAAGGAGAAGCCCTCATACCCTCACAAGAAGATGATTGAATGTTTGAAGAAAAACCCCTAAAAACATACTTTTAGTGTCTCTAACATTAATTTTACAATCCAGAAATGAATAAATTTTCTTTTTATGTATGGAAAATTTACTCTTGTATTCTTATTAGATATTATTAATATTACTTATGCACCTGAAGAAGACCAGGGAACACACCAGTCAAAATGTGATTAAAAGAGTAAAAATGGGGATACTTGTCAGAATGGCATGTTAAATTATAGAATTTCAGATGATATTTCACAAATTTGCTTCATTAAAATTTGTTGAAATTCTGAATTCATGTGTGTATGATTTTCCAAATATTTTTTTTTTCATTATTTGCAGGCTATTGAACAGTTGCAGGCTAACTATGTTGTAAATGAGAAGTCACTAAAACTGCTTGAAATGGTCCTAAAAAAGGTATCCTCTATATCGTCAATCAGTAACAACCATGCACTTTTGTTAGTACATGGTAAACTGCTGTCCCTCTATTCCAGGTATATACATGTTTCTTTCTGGTTTTTCGGCCAAGATGTACTGATTACGAAATTGGCTAAGTTATTTGAAGATAATTTTTATCCTATACAGTTTCCATTCTTAACAGTTATTTTCCTAAAATCCAATTTTCATTTAAAAAAAAAAAAATTAGCTAACCATTACACTATGACTAGGTAACCACTAGGATATTTTAAAGGAAATTTAACCTGTTAATGTCCACCATAAGATTTGATAATAATTATATAAATAAAAATACAGTATTAATTATAGGTTTCTAAAAAAAATTAAGAACTAATTATAATTGAGTGATTGATAAAACAACCACAGTTAGGATCATAGCAATCCTTTCAACCACAGTTAGGATCATAGCAATCCTTTCATTAGCTGCATAGTATGTGCTTTGCCAGGGCTACATACAGTTTTGAATTGTTTTCCTTCTCCTACCTAACAAGCTTGTGTAAATTGATGGCAGAATAGAGTAGGAGAGATTGTGAAAGAACAAACCTTACTAAGAAGTAGAGAGGATAGGAAGTTGTGGAGAGTCATAATCACCAATGTCCTGAAAGGACATGGCATATTGATGATGACTTTTATTATACCACATGGCCACAGGATTTATGTTCCCAGCAAAGATTGAACTCACTATTCCATAGCAAATAGCTTACTAGCCATTGACTTTTTAAGTAAATTTAATCTTTTGTAGATCTTAGGCACATGTTAGATAATACAAAATATAAATTATTCTGGAATGAATGACAAGATGGAAAAACTTACTAGTGATAAGTTTCCTTCCAAGAAGGAACTTCTTCAGATAAATGCTGAAAAGTTCTATTTCAGAACAAAACACATGACATGACTAATAGGTTTTTCCATCTTTTCATTCATTTATTATTGTTGTATTTTAATATCACCTCTTTCATAAATTATTCTGCAACTTTGCAGTTTGTTTGTTACATTCACTATAAAGACATTAACCTCTAAGCCAAGACAAGAACAAATATTTGGTGATTTTTTTTATTTTTATTTATAACTTTCTTTTGCTTTAAATTAGACCAACAAACATTACACACACACACACACACACACACACACACACACACACACACACACACACACACACACACGGTGGAGTAGTGAATAGCAGCTTGGATTGAGGAATTGGAGAGCCAAGTTCAAATTCCAGTTGAATTCATTACATTCACTTACGTGCTAATACCCTTGGAAAAGGTATGTATCCTCTTTCTCCCTCCAACTATGGGTAAATAGCAGAATAGACTGGGTTCTATAGCCTTAGATGGCAACTGGTCTAGGAGAAGGACAACTCTGAAGTTAAAACCTGTGGAGGGTCGTTTGGGGACCTTGTGGCACATAGTGCACCAGGTCTCTGTATATGGCCCTTCAATAGGTGTAGTTGGTTCTGCACAAAGCCTTCACCACTATTATCAAATCATATGTACTGGTGTCTGGCTGTTCCTAGGAACTGAGCTGCTTGACCCTCATACGTCGAATATGATGGGAGAGTTCACCATATATATATATATATATATATATATAAAGAAATAACAGTAAGATATATAATCCAGTGTTCTTATCGATATTTTTTATTTTTACAAAACACTGCTCAATGTAAATTTACAGAGCATAAATATTATAAATTAACTGATTTAAAATACGGTTTTTTCACTACACAGTAATAACCATATTTCAAAAACTGAAGCTAGAAACTTCAAATTTAATTATATAATTAAATTAAAAGCATTAGTTCCATTTCATCTTTAAGCAAATATTGGAATAACTTATTTTTTAAATTTACTGAGTCTTAAATGCATACATAAATTCAAAATTACCTGTTTCCAAGGATACAGAGAAATCCAATCATTCAGTCAGGGGCGGTAGCATGTTCATTTTTATTAACTATTGTTGTATCAATTATGAGTTACGTTCGGAAAAAAGGTTAAGTTTAGGGAGGGTAGGGGTGTATTTTTCAACGAATTCTGACATCCGTTAAATGCATATCATCTGGGTTTTTTTTATTAACGGCAAAAAGTTTTTCAGCTTTTTTTCATAAAGATTCTTTCTAGGGGTGTTTAGGTTAGAATATGTTTTATTTAACTACAATTTTAAAATATTTTTACTCTTAATTACTAATAGACTATATTTCTTTTTAAAACAAGTAAATGTAATAGAATTATATAAATTATTTAAAATTACTTTTTCATATCAAATATAAGTATGTATATTACCAACTCCTATTTTTTAATTTTATTTTTAAATATTATTTAAGGAAAATTTTTGACAATGACGGCAAAAAATAGCTATTTCATTTCTCTGATTCAGTAAATTTTTATTTTTTATAAACTTAGTAATATATAGTTTCTCATGTATGCATAAAGGATATGGGTCATTTAATGACCTACAAATTCTAGCTTTTCTTATTAATTTTCATTTTACTGTAGGTGTTTTATTGGATTCTTTTAAGTGCCAGAAATATTTTGAAAGTGATGTCCCTTTCAAAATATTTCTGGGAGAAATGGGAGCTGGTAATATACATACTTATATTTGGGGTTATTTTCAAATCCATTAATACGCACTAGTCTTATTCAACTTTGTGGCACTTATCCATTTCTTCCACTAAACCAAGAATAACCTAGTCTAGTTAAAACATATCTGGTTCTTTGGCAGTTGTTAGTTCAATTCCTGGGTTTGGTATTGCTGAAAAGTCATATATTCTGGTTCAGTGGAATAAACTTGGTAGATAAAACTGGTGGATATCACCTAAAGATGGAAGTGGGATGAGAACAATCTATCACCATTTATTGAATAAAGGTTTTAGTTCAAAATTCTAAGAGATTATCAAATACAACAGACATATAAAAAAAGTCAGAAGGTACAATGGCAAAAATGTTGTGAGTATAACAACTGAAATGAGCATGTTTGTCCAAATAATAAGGTATATCATAACAATAAGTTCTCATCTAAAAAAATTTCAACATAAAATATGGTGGTTCTATTTATCAGTAGATGTGGGTACATTTTTAAATATGTACTGTCATGTGTTTTATCCATGGTAAGAAAGTTAAAACTTTATTGTTGAACTAAGGGTGCTTTTTAAAAATTCCTTTTTTCAGTCATAATGCCTATGAACTTCAAGCAGCTGACATCCTGATTATCATTCTGTTGGCTACAGCACAATTCCCTTCGAATAGTGAACTTGCTGAATATTTAAAGCCACCACCCGAGCTACAAGGTGAAGATGGCCACCCACTTTCAGAAACCCTTCCTTCTATGAACATAGAGAACATAAATAAATCAACACTTACCACTGAATCAAACGTAGATTCAACAGATGATGAACAAGTTTCTCAATCAGGTACCAGTGTAGATACTTGTCCCACTCCAAATTTGAACCGATTGGCACCACAGGTACGTTTTCATTTTATTAGTAAAATACTTTTCTGTTTTCTATTCAAATTACAGTGTATATTTGAACATAGATTTTCTGGAAGAATATGAGAAATTTTTTTTTACACTGTGTAGATAAGACATGGAAAGGAAACTACAAGAACTCCAACAGAAGGTAGTGAAGGAAAATGCGAAGAAAGCATATCAATTGCAAGAAGACAGAATGCATGGTGGCTATCAAAAGGAAGAGCCCAACATGCAAATTACAAATTGGGGATATCAAAATCAAACAAGTACAACAATTTAAATATCTGCAAAGTGTTTTAACAGGGGGTGGAAAATGCAACACTGAAATCTGAAGGTGCATTGGGATAGCTAAAGATGCCTTCCAAAAGCTAAGCAAAGTATTAAGAAACAGAAAAATTTGATTAGAAATAAAGAGAAGATTACTGAACTGTCACATAATATCAGTCCTCCTAGTGAATGATGGATAATCTCATCAGAGATGAAGAAGAGCAACAGAAATGTTGTTCTACAGAAGGATGCTGAGAATGCCATGGACTGAACATGTGAGCAATGACAAAGTTTTAGAGAAAATAGAAACAAAAAAGACCTTTATACTTAACATCCATAAGAGATAGTTGAAATTTCTAAGCTACATAATGAGAAAGGAGGGCTTGGAAAATTTGATACTCACAGGACATATTGAAGGGAAGAGGGACAGAGGAAAACAATGCATAGCCTACCTAGTGAGCTTGAGTAAATGGATGACAGAACAAGAGCTACAAAAGACAGGAAATTGTGGAGTGCCATGCTCGCCTATGCCCTGAAGGGTATTTTTCCATAAGAGAACATAGCAAACCCAACTTGAATTAAAACTCGGCTTTCTGATTCCCAATTCCATGCCATTATCCATTACGCCATCTGCACAGCACTTCCATGCTTGCAGCACCTGGTATTCCCAATTGGTCATCCGTCTAGATACTGGCTATGCTGAAAATCACTTAATTTTAATGACTGTAAGAGAACCGGTGTTGTAATTATCTACAACACTCATTTACTAACTTGTATTCTACATTTTATTGTGTGTGTGTATATATATATATATAAAATTATTAATACATCTTTCGTGAAAAACAACAAACATGTTGATCACTTTCAGCTATGCTTCTGGCCATTTTCAAGATCTGTTATTATATAGATGCATTGTCTTTCTTATATTTTGATACATTTAAAACTTAGTATTGGCAATTATACCTGATGTTGTCACTGTAAAGTATTTGCGTGTAACTATCTATAAATGTGCTGGTGGTGTAATGGATACCAGCTCAGAATTAGAAATCAGCATGCTGAATTCAAATTCCAGTTGTTCATTACATTCACTTTCGTGCAAATACTCATGGGAAAGTTATGAAACTATTTCTTCTCCTCTCAGTTAGGTGTTAAATAGTAGGGCAGACTGAGTTCTTCAGCCTTGGTTAGCAACTGGTTTAGAAGAAAAAATTTGTCATGATGGTCATACTTATGTTGTGTGTTTGTGTGTATATATATATATATATAATATACACACACTACAGTTCAAAAGTTTGAAGCCACCCCCAGAATTAGCATGAGATAAACTTGACAGAAAGTGAAAAAAAAAAAATGAAGAAAACCTCTTAGAGTCATTGAAAAAAAGAATGGAATCAATTATCAAACTTATACTTTGTGAAACTTTTGCAATGAATGCCAAAACTTTGTGCTGCAGTAATCAAGGCTAAAGGAGGATATTTTGACAAGAGCAAAAATTAATCATAAAATTTTTTTTTTCTTTTTGTCGTAATAAAATTTCTAATAAAAAATCCTCTCATATTTTTTTAAATAAGAGAAAATTATTATGTATAATAATTTTCTCTTATTTAAGATACAAAACAACTATTTTTGGAGCCAATTTAAAAAATTGCCAGGGGTGGCCTCTAACTTTTGAACCGTAACACACACACACACACACACGTGTGTGTGTGTGTGTGTATATATATATATATATATATATATATATATATATATATATATATGTGTATTATTTTTTTTTATTGTGATATTTTGTCCCTGTGATGTCAGTTATTTTTTGTTCATGCTGATTTGGAGCTTCTCTACTTGATTCAGGGATTGAATTCAGAACCACTAAATGACAGTAGCATATGTATAATCAATATCTGTATTAACCAAGATAGCAATATTTTGAAATAATACAAGTATATTAACAATTACTCATCTCTGAAATGAAATGGGGAGAATTTGTTTGCCTGTTTTCTATACACAACCAAAACATTTCATGTAAATCTGTGACTTAAACCTATCCTAATGCTCTCATTAGAAATCACATAATCAGGTCATGTGACATGTGGTTATGAACCAGAATACAAATAACAGCAGCCAACTGATCAATCAGCCAGAAGAACAGCAAATGTACATCCTTGTGCAAATTAATTGAAACAACTGCTTTAGTTTCCTTTCTTTCACCATACTGTCAGTTTTAGACTCACTGGAGTAACAGGGTGTAATCAATTTCTATTTTTTCCTCAGATTAGGTCATTTGCAGTGGTGTGCAGTAATATGAATCTATTTTGGGAGTATATGATGAAATTTTTTTAGCCTTGAAAAATATTGTATCAAAATTTTATCATGCCCAGACACTATTGTCTCAACTGTTGATTAGTTGTTCTTTTCCATTGATCATACATGACTGGATACTTCCAGACAGGCCTTGTATTACTCTATGACAAGGAGGTATGACTGTCTACAAGTATCAGGTAATAAGTGTAGCTTCTTCTGGCATTAGAGTCTATATTGCTAAAACCAACTATATGGTTACGGTACGTAGATGACACTTTCATACTCTGGCCACATCAGGAAGAAGTCCAGGTTCTTCTGGACCATGTGAACTCAATAAGACCTTCGATACAGTTCACAATGGAGAAAAGAGAGTAACAACTCACTCCCATTCCTGGATGTACTAATATCTCGAACAGAGAATGGGTTCAAGACATCCATGATACCGTAAACCAACATTCACCGGACAGTACCTCAATTTCAACTCCCACCATCCATACAGCGAAAAGAAAGGGATCATCCGATGCTTACAACACCGAGCAAAAATCATAAGTGGCGATCCAGAGACGTTAGATAAGGAATTGGTCAGTATAAGTAGTACCCTACAATGCAACAACTACCCTGGGTACATGGCAGCAGCCCCAAAAACTGGGATAGGCGGGTACAAGAGGAGGACAACAACACTCAGAAAAACAGTCTGCCTGCCTTATGTGAAGGGGTTATCAGAGAAAATACAAAGGATCTGCGGTCCATAAACATCAGGACAACCTTCAAAAGTGTGACAACACTTCGCAGGTATCTCTCACGAGTGAGACCCCCATAGAGAGAACATGACTAAAAGACTGTGTGTACGCTATCCCCATGCAGCTGCGGAAAGGAATATAAAGGAGAGACAGGCCGCCCCCTCAAGGTAAGGCTTCAAGAACACCAAAAGCTGTAACGCGAGGGAAGTAGAAAAATCAGGCGTGGCTGACCACATATGGAGAGAGAAGGAGATCACCGCCCCTGTGGGATCATGTTGAGATCATAGACAGGGAACACCATTGGAAAATTCGTAAACTTATGAATCAGCACATATGCTAGGCCACAAAAATCTCCTGAGCCGACCAAGCATAGAAATAAATACAATATGGGAACCAGTAATAAGGAGTGCCAGAGAAAAGCAATGATAACAAAGTTGCAATATGAACTCTGGTAAAGACATGCAATGATAACAGCAAAAATTGCAATATGAGCACTGGTAAAATGATGCTGAAAACATTAGGTTTATAATACTCAGAAGTTCATACCCAGATGTCCTCAAGGACACATGGCACAGTGGATAAAAGGCGTTGGTTAGATCCAGTGAGTTTCAATTCGGGTTAAGGCAGTGGAGAAACTTTCAGGGAAAATTAGCAGGAGATAACTGATAACTGACATCCATCAAACATGGCACGTGGAATTAGAACAGTGATCGAAATAAAGGGTTCAGTTCGAAATTCCAACCAACGGCTGAAACGTTGTGACAAATATGGTCCGACTAATGTAAATACTGTAAATCAGCTTTTGTAGACTTGGGTGATTACAACTTAATACTACCACTGATATCCTCTTCTTACCACCTTTATCACACCACAGAACTAGAATAATAGACATCCTATGCATATAAGTTATACAGAGTAAAGAGTTCTTTGCAAATTACATGTCCTACAAAATAATACAAGATTTGAAAGTCACCCATTGACAACCATAACACTGATATTAAGTTGGTATCAAAAACAAATTACAAATTTAACAATTTAAAATAACTAAGTGTGACTGTTTTGAATACCACTAATAATACAACATGTTGGTTCTAATCTAGTGAAATAACTGCTAAGAACATTCCCTCCACAAATTTATACAGATACATGCTGGGATTTCTTCCTGACCAATAAAAATGGACAATTCTTAGACTGATCCTCCCATATTTTTTATTTTTTTTTTTAGTCCTGCAGTCAGAACGTTATAACCACTTGACTGTATCCCTTTTGCATGAGAACACAATTCTTGCTTTGTGAACTTTTTACATAGTTTTCCTTTACGTATATATTGTTTGCTTAGTATTATTTTGCCCTGTTCTTTTTCATCCACTTCTTAATGTTTATTGAAAACTTTGTCAATTCTGTTTGTTGAGAATTTTGTTATTTTTTAATGCCATGCCTCTTCAGACTCTCCACAATTTTATTTTTTTTATTATCTTTGAAAACCTATGGCTTGTTGGGAAAGATAGTGAAGCAGTTTCATGTTGCCTTTTCATTCTCTAAGACTGGTTGCCATCCAAGGTTAGAGAGCTATTTAATCCATAGCTAGTAGGAGAAAAATGGATTCATGCTTTTCTCAAGGACTTTTATATAAAAATGAATGCAACAGTTTGGGCTTTGAACATGACTTGCTGACACTGCTTTCCATGCTTATATCCATTACACTACCTGCAGAGAGACACATCAGATACCTGTTCAGAAAAAGGTGAATGTACAAATATAAATTGGTTATTAGGTCTATATTATAATTGTATAATTATTATAATTGTAACACCCAAATATATCACAATTCTTGAAAGAGTTATTGACATAGATATATCTGACCACAGTTATAGCAGTTGAACACATAACACCAACTGAACTGTAGATGACCATAATTTGCTTGCATAATGATTTTTTTTCAGTGAGAGAAACTATAACATAACATTTTTTCTTATTAATATAGCTTTCTCATCATAAGGAAAGTGGTAGCGGCAATAGTACTGAAGATCTGAGTGATGCTTCAACTGGTGGTGATCAGCCTTCTTTATCCATCCGCAAAATAACTCAAGGTAAAAATTTATCTTTTTTTCTTTTAATGGAGTAAGTGATAATAAAAGCATTAAGCAAGTTTAAACTACTTTCTTTTAACAAGTGTTCAGTCTGTGAGTTTTAAAACATTATTGTTAGTATATCAGAAGAATATATTCCTTATTACCATATCACCAGTAACTGTACTGGCAAGTGGTAGGGTATATGATACAGACCTAGATTAACTATATTGAATTAAGTCATTGATCTTTGAAACACTTAAAAATAAGTGCAAAACAGGAAAATGAGAAGTTGAGTGTGGTATTAATAAAGACAATTTTAATGTTGGCTCAACTTGTGCAACAGAAGAATCAATGAATGATTAACAAGAACAACTTTTATCATGGATCAAACCTGATGTCAAAGGATGAAGTGAACTTTTGTGTGCAGAACACTCAGACAAACTTGGGTTCATGATTTTATTGCAAGAGACTAAATTTGGAATTAGTCTGTTTTTATCCTCTTGGTATTGTCTTTAAATGGAAAACTTGTTCCTTTAAATTCCTTCCAAAAATCAGCAATATCACAGAAATGTTTTTCATTCTCCAATATCTTATTGGCCTGAACTAGCTCACAAATGTTAAACCCAAAGTGATTAGTGTAGTCTCTTCTTGGGCCACTTCATTAGTTACAGCTCACAATCAATGTTAAGAAGGTTAACCTGTGAATGACAACTATTAAGTTTTTTTCATTAAGCAGACCAATCCAACATCAGAACTTTAGGACCTGCCATGCCTGCACACAAGGTTGAATCTCTTTGTATTCCATTGGTAAGAAGGAAGTTCCACTCAGACAGTTTCTTCCCAAGAACTGCTACTTTGAAAAACAGACTCTTGAAAGGACGCTTCTCTGATCACTACAACCTCTTCAAGTTTAGGGTCAACCATTATCTCTCTACACATCCTCATAATATCGACTTCTTTTTACATCCATACAACAACCTCATTCATTAACCCTCTACTTTGAGTGGCTCTTGGGTCTTGTATTGGGTGACCAGTTAGTAAAAAAAAAACATAAAAAATCATTTTGTTGTCATTATAGCAAGTTTTGAATTTCAAGTATTTATATAATTATTGTATTTATAGTTATTAATTTTTATTTTAGGTAATTGACCTTTTGCGTGCACATACATTTTTGTGCACCCATTGGAAAACACTCATCTTAGAACTGTGCTTATCATTGTAAATTTTCCTGCAACAATTTAAAGGATCATTGTAAATCTACTTCAATTTTCTGATAACATTATGAATTCACTCCCCATTTCAGGTGTTACTTATTTGTCCTATCTAAATATAATTTATACTAAAGCTAATTCTGATGTTATCACAATCATTGAATCCTACTATTAAGTTGCTTAGAAAGAGTGAGAAAACATCTTGATCTCCATTTTCCAAGTTCCAATATACATGTTGTTATAGATTTATGATAGAATCACACATTAACAAGACAGAAGGAAGGGCTAAATCAACACAAAGAAATGAACTATAAAAAGGAGTTAAACATGAAAACATTTTCTATGCAAAACATGAGTGTACATAAGTCATACTAAACATACATTTTATATATATATATATATATATATATATATATATATATATATATATATATATATATATGGAAACCTAATTATTTTGTAACTAGAGATGTCACCTGATGAACTATATATATATATATATATATATATATATATATATATATATATATATAAAGAAAACTTTTTTTTACCAACATGTTTTCTCCTCTGTGGGACTTTATTAAGCTAAATGTATAGATTTTATTTTGCAACATGTATTTATAAACAGAAGTAAAAGATATTAAATTTTCAAAATTTTTAATTTAAAAATTCTTTAAAATATTTTTAAAGCTAATTATGTAAGTAAATAGTAAACTATGGCGGATGATTAGTGATGATTACTTTACTTATTATTTAATAAACAAAAGTGAGTAAGTGCTGTTATTGTTGCTGAATTTTATTTCCTTATTTATATTTTTTTTCTTTAATATAATAATTAGATATTATTTAATTTTAATTTTGTAAATTATGTATGTATTTCTTTTAAATAATAGGTCTTGAGTTAAGTTTTATTTTAATTAAAAAAATTTTATGGTCATGCATGTTATCTTAGTAAAGGAATATTTCTTTTTCCTTTTGTCTTTATTCATACTGTCTTTTTACAGATATATTTTCTTTATATGTGAATTTTTATATAAATATAAAAATATCATACATTGAGTACTGGTTCTACTAAAATAGCACAATGTATAATAACTGAGCTCTAATTTTTATTAATAATAATTTTTTTTTTTTTTTTCACAAGTAGCACAACTCTTAATTTCATATAGATATATAATTGTTAGGTGGTGATTGAAAACTTTTAATCAGCACCTGAGAACTGCATTCTGCATAAAACTAAAAGTTGTTTTTTTACTAGTGACGGTGGGCGGAATATATATATATATATATATATATATATATATATATATAAAATATTATTTATATATCAATAATAAATTGTCTCACACATTTAAACACATAAAGAGGCAAGCATTATATAAAGGAGAAAAATAAAAAAGGTCTTACTTGTAATGTCTCCAAGAGGGACATATTACAGTTTAGTGGTATCTTTACTATTTCTTTTAAGAATGCATCCTTGCTTGTGAAAAACTATATAGATACTAACTAGCTGTTCCCAATGGGCTGTCAAGGGCCCTTGGGACCTAAGTAAATTCTTCCTATCAAAAGGGAGATAATTGCCTTCTGTACACTACCTTCAATAACTGTCACAGTAAATATGCTACTATTAATGTTCTCTAATAACTATAATTCTGAAGTTGCTGAAAAGCCATACTTTGAATTTTCTTTTTATTCTTTAGAACATAGGTACAAAGGTTCTTCAACAGATGACATTACAGAGAGAAATGATCCACAGAATATTACACAAAATATAAAACACAGTACTTCAGAGGTAAGGCTATATATAAAGCATATTTACAGTTTGATTTATGCAAACTTTTGAATTTTAGTTATATCCAAATTATCTTATTGTTCATATACCTTAATATTAAAAAATTGTACCTAATTTCACAAAATTTTAGCAACATAAACTACATAACTACAGTGAGCAAACTATATGTCAGAGAAGTGGCTGGATGAATCCAAAAGATTTTTAGTTGCACAGCCACATTTTGAAATCTCATGACAAGGATTGGTTCCTCACAAGTGAAATTAACAAGATTGCATTTCTATCTGAATTTCTGGGATAAAGAGTTATCATTATTTACATTCAAGACAATAGCCTAGTGGTTTAAAGCATTGCTTTGTAAATTTAGTGAGTTATAAATTATTATGAGTTCAATTCCTGGTCTTGGCAATGTGGACTTAAACTCAGTGAAAACAGGGTGAGCAATAACTGAGCAGTACAAAAAAATAAGAACTAGACACGATATCTTTAGACAGGGACAGTGGAACAAGAACAGTTTACCTTCATAAATTAAATAAGGGTTCAATTTGGAATTCCCTGTAGGTTACGCTGATTGATATACACTTGATGAAAGCCAGAGAGTACAACAGCTGAAATGTGATGACAATAACAAAGTTGAGGACAATAGTCCTAATATAGTGTAAATAAGATTGTATTTATAAGACTGTGGTTTCAGATTATTTTTTTTCTCTCAGATGAGCTTTATGGTGGGTGGAATATCAGCATATTAATAATAATCCAATGGCCCAACAGCTAGAGTGAGGGACAGTTTTCATTTAGTTCATGAAGAATTGGAAAGTAGATTACAGAATGGTGACAGTAATGACCTGTTTAGCACAATCTTGTTTGGCTGTAAAAAATATAGCATCATAAATGGCAATGATAATATTAGCCATTTCTTTATAAAGAAACATTTAGCATTCATTGACCAAGCAGCCAGTACAACAGTTGGTTGAAATTTATAAAATCTTTCTCTTAAACAATTTTTCAGAAAAATAGGTTTCTCAAGTCCAGTAGCTGTTATTGCTCTTTCCAATATTAATGATGTCTTTTGTATGAAGTAGTGTGAAATGTCAACATCTTGATTATGGCATTATTTTCTCTTCAAGTTATATGTGATATCCATTTTAGCTGTTGTTGCTGTTGGAAGTCCTCAAGTGATGATTTCTGTTATCTGATACAATTCTTTGTGGTTCTATAGTGCCAGTCCACAAGGATAGTCTTCGATGATTCACAGGCTTCACTCACTCAAAGCCATTTTTAACCATTGATTTTAGAAAGCTATTATATACAGCCAACAGTTTAGATATTTCTGAACATGTTTAGCATCGTGCATAACATCTGTATGAACGTTTAGAGCTGATGAGGCTATTTAAGAACATGACTCAAGTAAGTCTCAAAAATGTTGTCTACTGTACACTAGTTAATGTGCCATGTATATAAGAATAAATTTATACAAAATAATTTGATGTGTTGATCTATGACATTTAGTGATATTTCACCAGTTCTGAAAAATAGCTACCAAATGACACAGACAGCACTAATTCATTCCATTCTCTGACATCAATGCATTTATAGCACTCCAGGCTCCATGGAAGTCAGCCAAAGGGAAGGTGTCCAAGATCCTTCATCTTCTCAGTATATTCAAAATGACAGTCCTGAGGTTCTCCTTCAGTGTAGGGAACAAACATTTCATGGAGCAAATCTGGACTGTAAGGAGGGTGAGGGACAGTTTTGATGCCCATCTCTGTCAACACAAAACTTTATTGCTTTCAAATTGTCTTCAGATCCTGACTTCTGTAAACTAGTTAGTTGTGACAAACAGTGTTTAGTTGTGTTACATTTTTCCTAAAACCAGATATTCTTCTGATTTATGCTACACTAATTTTTGCCACTGGCTGGATTTGAATGCTCTGAAACCCAAGACTGAACTAAAATTTCATCAACTGCACATAGGTTTTGCACATATCTTCCATTTTTACTCACACACTCAAAGAAAAAATAAGCAATACAATCCAGAATTTCCACCCAATAGAATCCCTCCCCAACCCCTTGGACTAAAGAAACAAAATAAAAACTGGAATCAATCTCAGCTGAAAAAGGACATAAAAACCCATCAAAGGAACATTTTTGTCAGTCAGATGGCATAACAGCCTGGATTTACAATGCTCACCAGAAAGTGACCTCCCATCTCCAGAAGACAACTCACCAAAGGCCATTGCCACAGTAAGTCACCACTCACTTTACCTCCCTTACCGTACGCCTCTGCTGAAGACTTTTACAACTCCACTTATCTCCTTTCAATGAGAGACATTTACACCGATTTATCATTTGTTGTATTTTACATTAATTGTTTATTTATTTATCATTTGTTGTATTTTACATTAATTGTTTATTTCTTTAAACCGCTGTTATTTCTTCTTTGCTCTGCCACCATATGCTTAATATAATAGTAGGATGTGTTTAAAGAGCTTTCACAGCCATCTCCTTCAATCAGGAATAACAAAACTTGACAGGTCATCTTATTAGATGTATAGTAATGATATACTAAAATTACAGTAATCTAGAATAGTTGCCTCTCCTAAAAAGGCTCAAAATTTCTGGAATGTCCCTTAAACATTATCCAAAAAAAGGTGTACAAGAAAAACTCATTATGATTTTATTTTTGAAATTTTTGTATATAGCTCAGCTATAAATCTTTAACTGTCAAATGAAGCCAATTTTTAAAATGATTTACTTTTAGATTTTTCCATTTCAGAATTACTAATAAAAATATATTCTCTCTTGTTTTTTATTTTTTAGAGGAATGTTGAATCTCATAGCTGTGATAGTCCCAAACCAACACGTCAAGCCACAACAAGTGAAGCAAGTAGTCAACCAAAGAATAAAGCCAGCAGTCCAAAGAATGAGTATCAAAGACATTCCCTCAAACCAATTCCAGTTTGTTTGCATACACCTACATGCCTTTATACTCCACATCAACTGTATTGTATTGAGATCTTCCCAGGCATTATTTTAGCTGTAGTATCGGAGGTAAGAAGTTACACCTTTTTATTATTTTCATCAAGCTATTTTACACCTAGCATACATTTTTTTAAATTTTTGATGGGTATTATACTAGTATTGAATAATTCTGGTTTACTTTTAAATATTTTATTGAAATAATTTTTTATATCAACAAAAATTCTTGAACATATTAGGACTTTTGGAAAATTTTCAGTTTTTTTTAAATACATGATTTAAAAAAATTAATTAAACTTGTTTCTTAACATTTACTATTTGTTTACTCAATCGATAGTACTTTCAGGATACAAAGCCATATTAAAATTATAAGTTGGTCAGAAGTGTCTTGCTAGTTGATACTATGTAATTTACTCTCATGACCTGTGATGATTTGACTAAATGATTAATGTAACCAAGCTCTAGAACTATAGAAGTAAGACTATTGGACATTACTAATTGGAATACAAAAACTAGTAAAACAACCAGGATACCTATTTAGAAATGGTGTCCCATCTTTTTACTTTTATAAAGAGAAAATTATATCCTTATATTTATGGGTAAGAGTGTTCAATATCAGGGATAGAATGTGTGTGTGTATATAAATGTGGACACAGGTCAACACTGAGTTGTAACAGTATATTTCATGCTTGAACACAATCTTGAGGCTATGTGTGTTATGTCATAGTGTGACTATATATATATATATATATATATATATGCTGGTCAATGGGGCATTATGGGTAGCAAAGACATTTCCAGTTTATTGTTATCCTAGTAGTTATATTTTTAAATTATTCTAAATGCTGTTTAGTAAAGTAAAGAATATTTTTAAAATAAAATCCTATAGTGATACACTTTTTGAAAGAATAAAATAAATGATTTTAAAAATATTGCATTATTATATTGATATTATAGAAAATCAGAAAAAAAAAATCTCCAAAAAAATATTCAAAGAAAACTTTTTTAATTTTTTTTTTTTTTTTTTTTTTTTTACACAATAGACCTAGAATAAAAAAAATAAATGTTAAAAAAAAGCCAAATTTTACTTTTTATTTTAAAAAAATTTTTATTAAATAAAATTTCAGGCTAATGTCTCCATATCAGATTTTTTTTGGTTTCTGATTTTTCATTTTTTCAGTATATATTTTACCCCATCTTTAAAAAGTGTAAACCTCAATGTAATCTGCCTTGATACATAATTGAAAATAATCAAATTAAAAAAGGTAGAAATAGAATCACGTAAAAAAAAAAATTTCTTTTCTTAAAATTTTGAAGAGAAACTGAAGAGAAATAAAAATATATACTTTACATAAATGCCAAACATTTTATGAAAATCCAATAATCTCTTTTTATGAGACCAAAAAGGCAATGATGTTTTAATAGCAACATTGTTTATACAAAGTAAACAACATTTTTAAATGCAAATATCAGATTTTTTTTCGATATTTTTTTTTTTTTTTTTAAACTTGAAAAAAAGACCATGAAATTTTGAGTGTTTCACAGCTTTTTTTTTTTTTTACTCCAGTGGCAAATTTTTTGCTATGAAAATTGGAGATATATTATTTTTTTAATTTCTTTTTTAAAGAAGTAATAGACTTTTTTTACTTATTAATCTGACAGAATTTATCACTTTAAATGTTATTTATAGTGGGTACCCATATTTGAGCCAATGCTCTGTTTATTTATTAAATATATTTATTTATTAGTATATTTATTTTTGCCTACCAGTCTGAATGTTTGAGAAATCTTATATATGTGCGTGTGTGTGTCTATATACAATCTGCAACAGAAAATTGGGTGACTGCATTAGAAACAGTGAAGTTCTGACTGAATGCAACATGATGAGTATTGAAGCCATCCTAATGAAAATCCAACTTAGGTGGGTAGGACATCTTTTTCATATGATCGATAGCAAACTTCTAAAACAACTTCTTTAACCAGCTTCTCACAAGCAGGTCAGTTAGAAGGCCACTCTTGTGTTACAAAGACAAATTCAAAGACAGTCTAAAGTGATGCAGCATCCTCTTTTCTTCCTGAGAACACAAGGCATTGGATTGAAAGAGATGGTGCTTGTCCTACTTCTCATCTATACAAAGGTTTGAGTGAGGCTGACTTGAACATTGGGATCAACTACATGCAAATATTAAAGAAAGTTGGCAGGATGTTTCTCCTCTCAATGATAGCTTTACTTGTCACTGTGGGTTTGTTGGACACAGTAAAGCAGGCCTTGCTGTCCACTTGTGGAAACATTGGGCAATTGATCTTCAACCACTCAAGGCAAATGGCTCAACTACATGTCCCATCTGTCTAAAAGTTTGCAAAACTCTTGCAGGTCTTGGGAGACACATACATGTCCACATAAAAGTTGAGCACCTTTTTATTTTACTGAGCCCTCATTTGTCATCTGCAATGAGAAAGTCCATATATATATATATATATATATATATATATATAAAATATGCATTTATAAATTCAAGATTGTCCTAAATAAAGACAGGTTATTGTTTACAATTGTTAATGAATGGCAATTGTTAAACAACAATCATTGAGCAAAACTTGTTGAAAGAAGAATTTAATCATCAATTTCATAGTCATAATAAATTATCTCATTTGAAGAATATAAGAGCAAGAATAAATGTAAAAAAAAAAATTTGTCTCATTAAGCTGGCATATCTGAAGCAACATTGGAAACTTCCAAGACATATGTTGTGACTACCATTCAATGGAAATGGATAAACAGCTAATGGTCATTGGTACCCAGCTTACTGAGTCAGTCTACTAATATGCAATGTTGTGTAGTTTTGTGCTGAAATGGCTCCATAATCTTTGATGGCTGATAAATTCAAGCAATGTGCTTGCATAAAACTGTGCATAAAACTCAAAATCAGGTTTTTGGCAAATATTCTTTGAATGGAACACTGGGTTTTGAGTGACTTCCATGTTTCAACAGCAGTTAATTATTGGTTTAAAATACTGATAATTAAGAGTAATTAATCACAGAAAATGTGAAAAAAATTTTATGAACACTACCATGAGGATTTTAATTCATTTACTCTCACATGGTTGGAATCAATTATGGAGTTTGTCAGAAAATCCTAGTTTTAGAAATTTCCAATACTATCTTGCATATCATGTTTAGCTGCACATGGAATATACCTTTTTTTTTCTTTTTTTTTTTTTAATTAAAAAAATAACTAGAAAAATGATTGTGAATTTTTATGCAAAAATGCAATTTTTCTCTTTAACCAGTTCTTTTATTTTCAGACTAAAGTTATTTTATTAATACTTCCTACTGAAATAAGACCACATCTAATGTTCCCTTTAAATAGAGATTGCGCAGGTAATTTGAAATGGCAAATTCTTATTTTCTTTTATAGTTCAGTATTTATTAACATGAGTTTGTCTTTCCCACAGCAACCATCATCTAACCAATCAGGACTGATCTGCCAGTTGCATGACCTTCTCAATGACATTGTTTCTGGAAGCAGTCGAGGAGAGCGTCTTGTAAGAGGAGACAGACAATACACTTTTGATGTACTTGACATGTTGGTGAAGAAAGTTACATCCTCACGTTGTGGTTTCAAGGTAAATGGTTTCATTCCTGCTTCATAAATGGAGGACCAAGGGTGAATCAATGGGAGAAAATTTCTTATCTGCAAAGGGATATTATTAAATTAGAAAAATATATGTAGTAGGTACTCTTCATTGAAACCTTTTGAACAAAAATATCAATTGACCTGTGAGATTTTTTGTGTTACCTTTATTTATCAGCTTTAAGAAAAGATAAGTCCTTTGAATACCAACAATCTTTTTTAGCATTTTCAGCAATATGAAACCTCCATTATTTACTATATGGTAATCTTAAAAAGAGTATACCTATAGTATAATCATGAGATCATCCCATAATTGATATTAAAAGTTTGTTGACTGTATAAACCTAAACTTGGAATAAAAGAAGCAGAAATGTCCTATAGAATATATGCAGTGTCTGATGAAAGTGAAGTTTGTGACCCGATTACTCAAAAGTGGTTTAGAGGGGTTTTAATCGAAAAGATGATATTCTTAAAGAACAGCCAATAAGCACTGATGATGACAAATTGAAGCTGTGTATTGAATTTAATGTGCTTCAAAAGTGTTTTATATTTGCATTAATGATTAACAATGATATGATACACTTGTGCCTCCATTGTTTTGAAGAAAGAAAACACAGAAACGTGTACACTGTGAACACAATGAGTTAAAAAACAAATTAACTTTCTTTTTGGTTACTAATGAGTAGCAGTACAGGTAGGACAGTAGATATGTGAATGGAAAGAAGAATATGCAAATTCTGTCCTAGTTTGTTGCATTTAATTTGACATAAATGCCCTTTAGGTTAAATAGAAGAGTATATTGAACTTTCTAGTCTTGGGTGGCAACCATTCTAAGAGGGAAAAACTCTGAATTCCAAACTGGAGAAAGTAATGTGAAACTATTCCACTATCTTTCCCAAGAAGGCATAGTAATCCATAGATATAAAAAAAATGATGTATGGTGAGCTATGATTGCC